AAAAAAAAAAAAAAAAAAAAAGGAAAAAAGAAGAGGGAATACCGCTGGTTACAGTAACAGTATACAACAACCACATGTGAACCAATCACAACGCACGCTTCTACTTATCTAGACTACCTGAAATGCATGGTGCTTGGAGTGTCATGGTCATGGTCACGGTCACGAGACGGCTCGTTCTCCATAACTTTATTTAAAATAATACAATTCATTTATGTTTATAAGAATTTCATTTATTGATTGATTACATGGTGATAAATAATGCATTATTTTACAACTCTGACAAGCAGTCCATGACTAAAGTAGGATTCTTGGTTCGGTGTTGAAATGTAAAAAATAATAATATGAGTCCAATTCAATGTGCATTACGTTTGACTTTCTCTGCAACGCCTATAAAAAAGCTAGAAGAATACGATGCAACTCAAACAAACAGGCGTATAAACAACAATTTCGAAATGGGAAAAAACATTTCGCCCGATGTGAAAGGTCTACTGAAAACAAAACACCATTCAGCCGGTGTGTGCAAATAATTTTAACAAATTGAAACCCAATAAATACGCTAAAGCCCCGTTTACACTGGCGATTTTTGCGGCGATTTTTGTGGCAATTTTCGGAAATATGAAATCCTTTGTCTCATCCTTCAAAAGAGACATTCGTCTAGGAAAATCTTGGTATCCTGAAAAAAACTTTACAAGTAAATTGCTTACCATTATTTATTATGGACAAAATCGCAAAAAATTCGCAGCAAAAATCGCAAAAARATCGCTAGTGTAAACGGGGCTTAAGGAAAACAAACGATTTTTTCCTTTTTGTCTATCGTTTTCTAACCAGCCAACGACTTCTTTTCATTCTGACCCAGTCTCTTCAGGTGACCGATGTGCGCGCCAAGAGCCTTAGTGAATGTAGGAATGTAGTTGTAACGTAGGTTGAATTCTTCGCAGGTCTTGCGTACTATAGGCGTGATCTGAGGATAATGGACCTGGCTTATGCTAGGGAACAGATGATGGGTGGTTTGATGGTTCAGAGCACCTGGTATGTAATAGATACATTATGAATTACGCATTATACCACTTACATGGTACGACATGCGGCTAACGAGAGCGGTTTTCGTATAAGTGGAAAACGCACCGCGGTACTGACTTAAAGCACGTACACGGTACGACATGCCGTAACATTGAAATGGCTTACTAGAGCGGTATATTTATGAGTTTGAAACATACGGTACTGACTTAAAGAACGTACACGTTACGACATGCCTTAACATTGAAATGGCTTGTTATTGTTAATCAGTAATAACGCGTAGTAACGGTTACGGTAAGACACGGCACGCCTACAGTACGACTATGAATTTGCCGTATCGTTTTACACTCATACGAAAATTACTCTGTCAAACCATTTGCCACAACACTGAGCAAACAAAATAAGCGATTTTTAGGACCCTTCATTGACGTTTTAAAAACAAGATGATGACTCGCGGTCAAGGTTTAGTTAACACTACACTCTGAATCCCCAGTCACCCCTCCCTAGGCCTCAGAAAAAAACGCACTTCCGCTAAAACCACACAGGTTCGAATGTTAAATGTAAAGGGATATTACCAGTAAATGTGTTCCAGAACCAGTTATCAGTTGCATAATCGAGCGTGGTAAGGATCTGGAGTTCCGCCCTAAAAAAGACAATTCACAAAAATTAGTTATATATTTCAATTTATGGGACAATTTCTCCGTGTATTTTGTGTATATCTTTGTATATAGAGATTTAAAATCATGGACGTCAATCATATGGAAAATGACCGGGCACAAGAAGCAGTTCTATGAAGATTTTTCTTTCTATTTTCCGCGGAGTTTGTTGTCCAAAGTTCTGATTGTTTCAGTTGGAGGTTAAATAATTAAGAACATTCTTTCGTTTTATATTATTTATATTAACGGTTTTTGTGGGCACTTGAACCCTAAAATACGGCACGACTTAATAGCGTAAAGCTCTGTAGCTCCTAGATCTGGGTCATAGAGGTGGATTTTTTATTTATTCTCTTGTCTTTCTTTTTTGAGGGTTCAAAAACGTCCCTAATTCCTCCACTAATTTTATAGTTCCGACATTTGAAGAAAGATTCTTTATCTCACGTGATCCACATAATGTATGTCTTCGTATCTTGCAGGTTTTAGCAAAAAACGAGATTTTATTATTGTGGTAAATATTTTGAGATCATATAAATGATTGTATAAATTCTTACCAGTCTTGATTAATACGATTGTCTTTGTCAGGCTGAGGCCAATCGACCTATCAAATAAAGAAAAGGATTTTCTAATCAAATACTTTATAATTCATGGTAGGTAATTCGATATAAATAGTTCAGTTGCATTTGTATTACCAGGTGATCTCGTTTTGACAGCCCATCAAAAACCAGCCAATCACCGCGCAGGACGAAATCTGATCAGGCGGTCCATCGAAAAAAACATGGCGACCGAAGTCAGAAAAAAATTATTCTGAATCTTTGCTTCCCTAGCTACGTTATGGACTAGCAATACAGTTAAAATTCTACCTATTCTTATAACGAATACCTATGGGTCAAATGGTGCGTTGTGGTTTCAATTCTTTTATGAAGTTTTCGTGAAATGATAGCTCTTTGTTCGCCGATAAGAACTGAAACTAGGATCGCCTGATCAACTACAACAATCCTTTGCGCACGTTCACCGAGATCACCTGGAAGGTGATTGTACAAAGAACAAAGCGCACAATCATTGTATCATTATTCAGATAGTTACTTACTTCACTAACAACATGAGAAATCTGGAAAATTAGCGCCAGCCAGTAGCTTGCCACTGCATCACTTAGGACGTTAAGTAGAATCTGCATGAAAAATTTTGGTCAAGTTCTTCTGGAGGTTAAGAAGGTGCTCGCCATAAGCCCTGCTGCCCCACTTTTGATGTGATGCGCAATGTTACAGGAAAGGTTGCTACGTGTGACATCCCTCTACAAACCCTGTTACCTACCTGTGATGTGATGCGCAATGTTACAG